AGGTGCGACGGGAGGACCTGGGTCCAAATAGCACCAGACACACTGTTGCCGAGGGAAGAGCCGATGTTGTAGGTGGCGAGATAGAGACCAGTCATGATGGCGAGCTGCTCGTGCTGGAGATAGGCCTGGAGAGAGGCCTGAGCAGGATAAGGGAACATACCACCAGCGATACCCAGAACGATCTGGGCGCCAATGACACCAGACCTGTTGGAGCTGCTGGGGTCACCTCGGTAGCGGATGAGCAGACCGAAGGCGACGAGGAAGAGGCAGGTACCGGCGACGATGAACATCTTGAGGCGGCGGACCTTGTAGACGACAACACCCAGGATGGTACCGGTGATGACACTGGCAAAGGAGTAGAGCGAGGTGATTCGAGTAGCAGAAGAGACGCTAAAGTCGAAAGCAACTCGGAGGACGGTAAACAGGTAGTCACCCTGCATGGTCCAGGCAAAGTTGAGCATGCAAGCCATACCAAGAGGAGCCCAGATGGCGCGATCCTTCATCTTCTGGAAAGGAACAAGAGGATGAGGAGCTCGGAGCTCCCAGAAGATAAAGGCAGGGATGCAGACGAAGCCAATGACAAGAGGAGCAATGATGTGGGCCTGTCCCCATTGGGCCTTGAAGCCTCCGGCAGTGGTCAGAGGGACAAGGATCAGAGCAAAGATGGCGATGATGAGGATGATTCCGATGACATCAAGAAGCCAGAAGAGCTTGATGGCCAAGTTCTGGAAGCCGAGCTGCTGGAAGGAAGAGCGGTAGTTGACGAGGAGACCCTGCTTCTTGGCGCGGTGAGAGACAACCATAAGACTGATGATGAGAGGAGCGGCACAGACGGGGTAAATGATGCACCACATGGCGATACCCCATCGCCAGGTCGTCTGGCCCAGGACAGCTTCAGTGACATCACCGCTGACCCAGGTGTTGATGATGAAGGGCAGGGCGGGAATGTAACTGAAGAAGAGACGGGCTCGAGTAGAGGTGATATCGGCGATGATGACCTCGACAAGCAGCAAAATCATGGTGTAACCAATCTGATAGATGACGGCGCCGGCAGAAAAGGTGGCCAGGTTCTGAGCAACGGACTCGACAATCGTTCCGAGGGTGTAGAAGAAGACGGACAAGCAGATGAGCTCAACACGACCAAAGACATCAGCAATCTTTCCAGCCGTGGGCTGAGCAGCAGCCGCAATGACAGATCTCAGCGTGTTGACGGACGCCAGGAGGGAGTGGGCGTGGAAGCTGTCGGTGGCCAGGGGCTGGTAGACGTAGCGGATGGTACCGTCGAGACCGTAGGCGTAGGCGATGAGGAAGACGCCAAAGAAGATGAAGATGCGATCGGTAAAGGTGATGACCTGGGAAATGGCCTTGATACGAACAACTCCGGGCGAGGTCAAGTCGCGGACGGCGTCGGCGGCCGACTTGGGCTCGTTGGTGACCTCGCGACCATTGTCGTTGGTCTCGAGGGTCTCTTTGTTGAGCACAGGAGACGACATTGTACTCAATTGATCTCAATTGATCAGAGTGTGAGAGAAGAAGAGAGCTGATGAGGGTTGGACTGAGGGATCGGCAGTGGGCGATGGGAGCTTCATATGTACAGGTTTAGATGACCCACTGATTGATTAGATAAAACTACAAGGTTTGTTTCTGTTACTAGGGGCAAGCTAATCAGATGGATCTTCCATCATGCGACCATGATGGACGACGGTTGCGTTCAGGGTTAGACCCAGAAGCCAAGACAGAAGGGCCTTACAGAAGCAGGTCCACTGGGAAAAAGATCGGAACAGCCGAACGTATTTGGCCGAGCTCGGGCATGGGGGTTTATTGAACCATGACCGTTGATTTGCTGGCTTGGCGTGGGTAGACTTTTGAATCGATCGAATCCTTTGCCATTTGCCATGGTCCAACCGTGGCAGCGTGGTTCCAACAACGTGGAGATGTGAGAGTGATCGACGGGTGAGCTTCCTTGTTTGGTAAGCTTGATCATCTACCGACCTGCAGTGAGACATGAGTGAAGGGACTAAAGAGGGTCTTTTCCAGTGTACGAGAAGCTCATCACCAAAAAGACCCTCTGTTTCTCGTGTTTTTTCTGTAGTCTTCATTCCTCAGTCCATTCTGTGATACAGATACTGTCCACTGTATCCCGCCGTTAAAGACATCAACTAGCCAAGCCCCGTACGTAAGGCAAACCGCCACAAAGAGCCTGATGCCGATCTTTACAGGGGTACAGAATATAGCTGCCTAGCGAACCCCCCGGTTCATGGATCCCCCGCGTGGCTTTTCTGCAGAAGAAGAAAGCACAGCTTCCTAGTCTCGCGGAGGATTGAACCAAATGGGCGGACTCGCCGACGCAAGCAGCGCTGGATCTTGACCTGCAGTGAGCAACCAGTGGAGTTTAAGGTATGATCCTTGATGCTGGGCAATATCATAAACGGCAATGATTTACAGTGAGGCAGCCGGGTTTAAGCAGCTTCGACGCGACTCAAGCTGTCGGGGTGGTCGGTTCTCTCCGTCCACCGAGATCTGAAAACTCTCCAGTTCAGCTCTCCTCTTGCTGTGACAGAGTGACTGTGGGAAGAGGCATCCAACGTGGCGCCAATCCTGCGGCCCCTTCTAGCGCGGCAAATTTTTTACACTCACGCGAGCAGATTCTCATCGTCCAAGACATTTCATTGCCCGATTAATGACTCTCCTGGGCCGAGAAAAATAAGTTACAAGGTGGCCGGCCCTGCTGTGGATGCAGCGTCACTCCTTAGATCCACTCTTGAAGCAACAGAATCCCAAAGGGCGATAGCTTGATGATCCTTCAACTTGGCTTAAAAAAATAGTTGGTCCAAATGCGGATCGCGCGCGGATGACGCGGTCAAGAGGCAAAGGCGTCTGGCGGCTGTAGATGAGATTGATAACAGGCCATTTGAGTTTAGCAGCAGGTTCTTTTGGAAGCTTTTCTTCTTGGCAAATACCTCGGCTGTCAGCCTGCCAAGCAAATGAAAGCGTCTAGGCTTGAAAATCTCTGTCATCCTCCGTGCATCCCTTGACGTTACAGGCCTGGTACCACCAGCTTGGACAAGCTCCACAACATGTGAGATGGCGTTACTTTGTTTCCCTTCATCTTCCTTTTGGCGCTTCTATCCCACGCTCAGGGGCCTACACACAGACACTTCCCGATAGCTTGGCTGACCGGGTCCAGATGATTTCGGATCTCGCTGATATTTGCCTGTCATAAAGCTCCGTGGGTGGATCGCGGATGTGATACTACACAGGGTTAAGGATATCCACGCTCTTCGGAGCAAAAGACCACGATGTTACAACGGTTCTCGTTCCGTGGTTGACATGTAATTCTTAATATCCGGAGAGTGGGATGAGACTCCACGTGTAGGATCGCGGGTGTTCCCGAATGTTGAGCATGTCAACAGCGTAGATCGATCACACGAGGATTTTCAGAACATACAGGCCATGTAGAGACAAAGTAAAAGTCCAGATCCTTCTTCTAGACACGCGACCATCGAAATAAGGCCGAAGAACTGTCAGTGGGTCAGAAGCCAAGGCCGATTAGGTAAATGCCAGCCGGGGCAGAGTGGGTGGCCCAGTAATATCCAGACGGGCACGAACGGGTATAGCAAGAGATTTAATGCTTGCTAGACGACTTGGCCAAACGGATTCGTCCATTGTCATTTCAAGCCCACAACCATCCAGAAGGTCGGGAGGTGCCAAGCTCGATTTGCGAATGTCACCAGAATTGGATCAAGGACGCTTAGATTTAGTTCTTGGTGACCAATCCTGAGTGACGATTACTGATGTTTTCGTGTCATCTTGGGTCACCTTTTCAGCCTGGAGGTTAGATATCTGTCGTCTGACGATCACTTCCAAGACCAGGGTGGAGGGAGTACTCGATAGTTTGGATATACGAGCCACATGGAAAACGCCTACTACTTCAACACGATATGAGCTAGTGAAGTCGAGAATTTCATCACCTAGATTACGCAGGAATACTATCCTTAGCCAATATTCTCTACGGAGTATAGCAAATAAACTGCTCAACAGAGCCTACACTCCCTTATCCTCGCGGAATTATTCCTCTCTGCGGAATTCGATTCCCTGCTTACTCCCACGTCGAGTTTCAGGTCAGGCCCAAGATTTGCGCTCCTCTTCATCTGAAGTCAGGATATTTCTCTTGCTACCCCCAAAGTTGAAATGTCTTCTCTTCATCGCTGTCAAATGCGTGGGGGCGGCTAAAGAATGTCGTGCAGTTCGGTCAACGCCACAAACAGCTAGGCTCGGTGGCTTCCTGCAGGAACTCATCCACTTCTCCATGATACGATAGAGGCTGTTCATGCAAGAGTTTATTTCACTTCCAAGGTGGATTCATGACCTTCTACGCTTCGGTTTGGTGGGCCGCGCAAGTTCAACCCCTGAATACTCTCGGCGTGAAGTCAGGACAGAGAGTGCATTCGATCGAATGTCAACATAGTATTTACCTAGATGTGAAAGTATAATTCAAAATTCTCTATTGAATGTCAATCACTCTGGGAGGTTCAAACATTACTTCCCCTACCCAGCTACATGTCAGATATCACTCACCAACTTCAAATTTCAAGGGCGTGAGTAGGCAGCATGCATTGCCCAGTAGCATCAATAACTATTCATCACTATGCCCGGCATTATAATTGACCAGCTCCCTTTTCGGTATGATCAACAGGTCAAGCTTGTATTTCCATCATGCCACGGAATTATTCCTTCACCGCGGAATTTGTCTCCCTGTTCACATCGCGGAATTTGTCTCCCTGTTCACATCCCACGTCCAAATATCAACACGGGGGTGATTAGGTAAATGCCAGCCGGGAAGTGGTGGGATGTCTATCGTGTTCATCTTTGAAATCGGCATGTTCCCCGTCCATATGTCTAAACTCAAAGGCGGCTGATCAGAACTAGTTACCAAGTAGGTCTGATTGCCGTCTTTTGCAAATCTAAGGATTCAGGCATCTCGCTCTCCTAGGCTATATCTACTCATCCGCATCTAGCAACCCCTCGTCCACCAACCGTTGACATCGATCTCGCATCTCGGAAACATAGCCTTGGTCCAATGCTTCAGCATGAGGTAGAGTAACAGCACCATCCAAGCTTGCCGTCTCCTTGGCGAGGTTCTCGACTGATTCGTAGAGACCTTTCCAGCATCGATCGATAATGGCATCTAAACATCCATTGCCCAGATCGGGAAATTTCATGTCCTGGAACAGATCAACAACGTGTGGTCCCGGTTCCAGTTCTGCGTACGGCTCATGCCCACGGATCATGGTGTAGAGTAAAGAACCGATAGCGAACTGTTCTGTCCGTGGTCCATTGATACCAAAGGTTGCTGCGCTCCAGCCTCTGAACCAAGCACACGAGCCCACGGCGGAGGATTCCCTGATGAGTCGTTCCCTATCTTGTCGACGCAGTCGAAATCGACAAGCTTGAGATGGTCTCCCGTGTCCAGCAGCAGATTCTCGGGTCGTAGATCCCCATGGACTAGGCCTAGAGATTCAAGCCAAGACACGCCGCCCGAGAGCTCAGCGGCCCATCGCTCAACGGTATGGGTGGGCTCCAGCCTCAAGACGCCGAGGAAGTTGTGGCGGTCGTCGAGGCGTTGGTTGGACTCCAGCCGCTTCTGGAGAGATCCGCCGCTCAGGAACGGCATGAAGTTTGCATTTGGAAGACGGAGAAGGCTTTGGATCACATGTGGGCAGGGCTCATGTTTCTCAAAGTCGTCGTAGATGCTGTTTTCTTGAACCAGGTCGGCAGACGCAAGATTCCGGGGGTATTTGAGGGCGATGTCGGTGTCGATCTGGTAGACCCACCCAGTAGCTCCGAGGGAAAGGAACCGGTGTCTGGAGATACTCCGTGGAGGTTGTACTATGGGAGGCGACATGCCGGCTCGTGTATTGCTTAAAAGTGAAGAGGCAGAGAAACGATGGTTGCAGGTGTCATGTCACGTCTAGGCAAGGGCAGGTATTTATCCAGGTTGGCCTCGGGAATTTCCATGTTCCGGTCCGGGTCAGCTCTTGGGAAAGTGGCTTGACTGCATGGAATCGATTTCCATGCTTCAATAATGTATTCGATGGACTCGCCCTGCAGTATCCCTTGCAACACGACCATATACAGACATTTGAATCAACGAGATCTCTCCCACTTAGATCCAGTCCACTCATCTGCGGCACCCTCTCATGCTTACTCCATCGCAGCTTCGTCTGAGACTTGCTTCCACTTACGACTTTGAGATGTCCAAGACCCGACATTACAGAGCCCCCTAATACTTACAGTCTTCTCTGCTGTGACCCTCGACATGGCATAGGGTACACCAAGCCTCAGCCGGCGTATGATAGTACGCACATTTCTTCCCGAGGTAACATCTATCTCCGTGACGGCACTTGCTCGTCCTCCATTTCTTAAAGTTCTGATCCGGCAGGGCTTGGAACAGGTCGCGCTCTTCTTTGGTGTGTAGATGACCGCAATCGCCGCTTTTACCACAGCGAATGCCGTAGGGACATCGCTGTTTCGCATGATGGCCGCTTTTCAGATTAGACCGGGTTACCGTTTCCCACCCGTCGGTGTCGCTGTTGCTGGGATCATTGATGTTGCTTGCTTCTGCGTTTTCACCCTGTTCACCCCCGGCGGGCATCCTCCAGGGGTTGGATGGGTCCCTGACGTTGGTTGACCCTGTAGCACTGGCCGCGTTGGCGCTGTGTTGGATGCATTGAGGTTCTTCCTTGGCCATGATTTCCCTAGATTCGGGATCCCCGTCACCCTCCAAAGGTGCAAACATGTTGCTAGTCTCGACCATGGCCGGTGGTCCCTCGTTGAAACGGTCCGCGTATTGAGGCCATGACATGACCTTCCACAGCCCCCCGAACTGAGTCTCTGCCTTGGCGATCAAGCCATCCATGTCATTGATATTCTTGGCTCCGGGGAACTCGACGTAGAACTCGTTTGTCACGTTGGATGGGGTTATGAAGGACAAGCGACCCCATCCATCGAGCTCATTGCAGACAATAGCTTCCGCGTCGAGAGGGTCGGTGGGCTCTATGCCGCTAAAGTCATAGAGCACGAGCGTACAGCTTGGATCGACCTTTCCGGACCGTCTAGTGGAACGGTAGCTAGTGAAGGAGATCTCTCTGAAAACGTGCTCCAGGTAGTTGATCGACAGCAGAGCCATCTCGTTGGCTAGCTTACGGTACTCGGAAGAGATGCCCGACTTCCAAGCCCAGAGCTCAACCCGGAACCCGTCGTCCAAGGCTTGTGTGATTGGGGGGACCATGTCTTGGTCTCCGGTGATGGCGATAAAGACAGTCCTCTTATTCTCCTCTTTAATTTCGGGGAGAAAGTCGGCCATGGTGCTGAGCTTGGTAGATGTGTGGCTCAGATCCGTTGCCATGGCGCTGTCTACCTGCTTCTCCTTGCCGCGGGAGCGATTGTAGATCTTGGTTCGGAAGTTGTACTTTTCAAACGTGTTCCACACCGCGTCGTTGGGTGGCGGGCGAGAGCCATAGAGATACGACGTGCCTTGAAAGCGACCACCGAGGAGTGTCTTGACCAGCTTACCGATGTTGATCCTGAGACGAGGGTCACGGTCGCGGTCAGTGAGCTTGGGCATGTGGCTGTTTCCTGAGGCGGCGAACTTTTGGGCCTCGATCCAGATGTTGGAATCGTCCACGAAGAACATACAGATCTCTTTGTCTTCTTCAGTCATCATGGTGGATGTCATTTAGGTTGGTAGGGTGACTTGAGTGAGGGTCTAGGTAAGTGATTTGATGGTTGGTTTGAAGAGTAGCGCATACGAACAATGTCTGCCCGGGGATTGAGCTTATTATGCCATGATTTTAATCAGTGCCCGAAGCACACTGTTGGGCATCGCCTGATTTGTGGCGTACGAATGTGCGATTCAGGCTGGTTTCGGAGAGTCGCATATGCAGGCGTCCGGACACCTTCTGAGAGCCTCGTTGCCTTGGACGACAGACCACTTTTACGGTCGATTACTTTGATCAGCAATCATCACATTGGCCATAGCTACCATCCAACGGCTGTAACCATGGCACAAATCTTGGCTCTTCTGATCATGGCTCTGATCGATGTGCCTTGCACATGCTACACGATCGCAACGGCCGCCTCTTTAGCCACTCAGAAGGCGAGCTGTTGAAACCATGGCAACATTGTTACACAAATACAATATGAAAATGTCTCCTTCACCATTTGTTATGGCCATAACAATGGATATCGGTTAAACGACATGTACGACTTCAAACTTGCGTTCTCCTCCTAGATAAGCCAGCAGACGACGTCAGCGCCTCTCACGTAGGTCGTGTAGCCCTTGGGGACTTCAAAGTCCTGATATTCGCCAACGTTTTCCTCGAGTGTTTTCTGATGCTGCGTTTCTTCATTGAATACACAGATGTACAGCCCCTGGAACTTGATTCTTCTGTTGCTGGTAGGATTAGGGGGGAAGCGGTGGCTCCGGACGCCTCGTTCTTCTCGCCCGGCGAGGGCGTCATCGCCTTTCTGGTCGGCGCTTGTCAGTCGAGAGCAGTGGGTGCAAGTTTAACCTGGCCTTACCGCCATGACTAGATGTGCTGGGCAAAGGGCAAGCAATCGAGATGGTCACAACGCGAAGCACATTGTTTCGTTGCGTGGCGTCGGCATCAGCAGGTCGAAGGCACCACACTGTCTTGCTGAATAAGCCAAATGTCATTTCACGTGGCTCAGCGACTTCCTACAGGGATTTGTATTCAACTAATAAATTGGTTCAAAGCCCCTGGAGCATGATAGGGTGAATATAGTTCATTTTCAAACTGAGATTGAATCAAGCATGACAAGAGGAATCATCTATGAAGAGTTTGCGAGACTTTGTCAGCTTCGAGTTTCGCCTCTGTTTTCAACGTCATGCTTCATGTTAGGTATATTTCTATCATCGTCCCGATTCTTCTTACTATCTCACTCTGGACGCCGAGCTCCGATCTCCGATCTGTATACATCCATGGCTCCAGCTCATATACGACTAATCCATCCCTCGATATAAAGGTCCAAGTTCAACGTGTCATAGTTTGAAAATATCAATCACGCTGTCTTCGAGCCATCGAGGCAACATCACCAGCATCAGGCTCACTCTCATCGACAAAACCGAACCTCTCATACAATGGCGCGCCAGCTTTACTCGCATCCACATATGCTCCAACTCCATTCTTGTCTGCAAGATCACATCCCCATTTCATGAGCATGGATCCAGCCCCTCGTCGTTGGTAATCGGGATGTGTGGCAAGTGTGTCGAGGTCTGCTTGATCAGTTCAAGAGCCGCCCAAAAGGTTGAGTCTTCCGTACAGTAATGCTTATAGTCGCCCATAACTCTCTTTCTCTCGTCTTCTTCTCTCTTGAAAAAAGCCTGGCACTCTTCACTCGGCATATCCTCGTGCCAAGGCGGATATCGACGACCCCGCTCTTCAGGCATGGCTGTATCCCATTTGGCATAAGCCGCTATACGAGGCCGACCTTGAGCATCCAATGTATCAGGATCAACCACCTTGACATAGCGTGCCAATGGCTTGTTGATAATATCGTTATAGTTGGCATCATGCCACCACTTCCGTACCCCCGGAGTACCAGGCCACAATCGTTGCATGTCAGGGTCTTTGAACGCCTCAAACCAGAGGTCTACCATGTCTGGGATATCCTCTGGAGTCGCCAATTCCAGTCTCAGCGCGTTGGGGGTTGTCATCTTGAGTGTTGCTTGACACGTAAGCTGAGAGAGTGCGGGGATGGATTCATCACCCTTGTATTTATACTGAGCGCTGAGAAACCGCTCCACATTTCTTACTATGCATGTACAATTGTCATCAAGACGACTCACACCAGGAGTTTTCTTTGTCGGAGAACTTGGACTCTCCTTGTGCTCCTTGATAAACATATGCTAAGAATCGCTGTCTTGATGGGCATAGTCTTGTATCCCTTCGAGAGGAAAATAAATCTTGTAGCATGTGCTATAGGTTAGCCTCAATTCGTTGCACACTCTGTCTCCTCGGCCAGCCTTGTCGATACAAGGCGCATGGGAACACTGAGGCTATGAGAGGACAGGTTGCTTAAAATTCTTTGTAACGCAGTTTTCATCGAATCTAGAGGAGGAATAAACCCTCTAGGTCCATAATGTCACACTTTTCCCATGGAAGCCACGAAGCCCTGCTACAACTTCTATTCAATTACCTATTCTAGTTCATGGACAGGCTTAGAACCCTTCATAATAGTAGTCTTGCTAAGCACTAATATTAGACTGTAGCAGTTATAGTCCTTAGACCTTCACAATTTCCTTCTAGGCATAAGTCTAACATGTATTGGTTCTTCACACGCTTGGAAGGCCGCCGCTTGACAGCCTTGGCGCAGTCTCCAAACCTGGTTCTCCCGGAAGGACCCTTTTCGGAGGTTCAGTCGCAAAAGTGCTTCTTCATATGCATGCGGGTCTTGTCGTATTGCGCTCACATATGCTTGCTTGACGCAACCTCCTGCAAGGTACCGTGCCGAGCCCAAGGCAATACGAACTCGGCTTCACTTCTCGTCTTGGGGTTAGAGAGAACCAATGAATGTTTTCTTAGCGCAATGGAATTCAAGGTCACCTGCATGCGTCGTTTCAGACATGGGTGGCTTCACAGCTTGTGATCTTTATCTCTACCTCCAACTAGATGGATGGATTGTTCGGATGAGCCCCCACGATCCATCCTCGTGCAGATCTGGTGACGGAAAGACTGAGAGTTGATTGAAAAAGTTTCTTGTGCAGAGAAGATGCGCTTGATATCTTCAGTACTGGTTACGAGTCGGTAGCCTTGAAGCCAAGCCAGCACAGCATTTGAGCGAGATTGCAATTTGAGGCCTGCAGGCTTGCAACAGAGGCGAACAAACTACCAGTTAAATTTCCAAGGAGATGAATTCAGTTCTACTCCATCAAACTCGCTCTTGTTCTCCGGAATGGGGGTCTTCAGCGAGGTGGGACAATCATGCAGATGTTGCAAGGCCGTCAGCCAACCTCGAAGCAGCAAGATGCCGTGCGATGATTGAGCAGATATAAACACGATCACGGCATCAACGTTTTCGTCTGAACTTGGGGTCCTAATCAAAGATTCCTCCGAGATACGAGGCCCTTCACGTGGTCATCAACAGGCTCTTCGCATGGTTCGTAAGAAGACTATCTAAATAGCATTCAGACTCCAATTTAGGCAGAACATGCACGTTTAAACGCTACTCAGGAGGTTCAATTGAGACGAGCTCAACTTCATCCTTACGACGTCAATTGACGAGTGTCATCGGAGTTCGGAGCCGGCTCCCGGGAACTTCACCCGTCAGCGGCCCGTTATCGGCCACCCGACGCCACGACCTGCCGTGTTACATGATGACTGATATTGGCTTACGCCTCAATTTTATCACGATGACCGTAAGACGATATTGTAGCAGCTCTCTTGAGAGCCACGTAGTCGGCCTTGACTACGCATCTCAAGGCGACATGGGGGGTATATAGGTTAGGGCCCAGGGTAGGGATTGATGCCATCGCCCTTAGTATCTCATCAGAGGCATCCATTCGTTCAGTCGCTCGTTTACTTGTCCAGCATGAAGGTCTTTGAGGCATTGGCGTTGGCTTTCTTTGCTAGTGGTAGTGCTGGGCGTCCAGAAAAGCGGGTGCTTCTCGCGAGATCTGAAGGGGAACCTGTTAAGAAGCGTCAATCAGACGGTCGATGCGGAACTGGCTTTGACACGGTCTGCGCTGATGACGAATGCTGCTCAAACTCGGGGTAAGTCTGCAAACTCTCAATACCAAAGGAATACTAATCTCGCAGTTGGTGTGGAACTGGATACCTCTACTGCTCAGCTCCAGCGTGTCAGATTGAGTACGGTCCAGCCTGCGATGCAAATGTGCGTCCCAATGGCCCCGACACTACCAACATTGCTCGGCCCAAGATTGGAGACATTCCCTATGGTGAAGCCATCAATCGCTGCAGTCGAAATGGCGATATTGCTTTGACGTACGATGATGGGCCGTTCACGTACACAGAAGATCTCCTCAATCTCCTCCAGGTAAGCCACCCTTCCACAAACCATCCACCTCTAACATGTCCAGGAATACAACGCCAAAGCGACATTTTACATCACTGGAAGAAACCTCGGTAAAGGAGCCATCAACGACCCAGATACAGCATGGCCTGCTCTCATCAGGCGAATGATCAGAGATGGCCACCAAGTCGCCAGTCACACATGGTCTCATCAACGCCTCACAACATTGAGCAGATCCAAGTTCTGGAATCAGATGATCTACAATGAGATTGCTATCGCCGACATCTTGGGCTACTTTCCTACCTACATGCGACCGCCGTACTCTGCCAGCAATGAGGATACCAATGCCTGGCTTGATGAGCTTGGCTATCACATCACCTACTTTAACCTCGACACTGAAGGCTACCTTCACGATAGCCCCAACATGATTGCTGCGTCCAAGGCCATCTGGGACAATACAGTCGAGGGCAAAGACCCCGAAACCAACAGGTGGCTACACATCGATCACGACCCTGTTTACCAAACAGTCTACAACCTTACCGAGCACATGCTCCAATCCATCCAAAGCAACGGCTTTAGAGCAGTCACAGTAGGCGAGTGTCTCCAAGACCCAAAAGACAACTGGTACCGCAAGGTAGGCAACCAACCGACGAGCAATGACCCCAGCTCAGAAAGCTCCTCCAGCTTCCCACCGACGACTAACGGCCGCTGCGGCTCGCGATACGGTGAAGCGACGTGTCGCCACGAGCCCCTCGGTGAAACTTGCTGCTCTCGGGCAGAATGGTGCGGTTCGACAGAGGAGCATTGTGGAAGAGGATGTCAGCCTGTGTTTGGGACCTGCAACGACACGCCTGAACCGGGGATTTAGGAGGCCGAATGACAGCGGAAAAAGCGGCATCGACGTGAAGGATCAGTGTAGCATGTCAGCCAGGGTTTTGGAACGAGCGGATCTGACAGGACATTTTCTATATCTGTTACTGAGAGGAAGTAATAACCTAATATTATTCCCGAGAATATCCATGCGCATTTTGATCCCAAAGAGGATTCATTGTGCTTACACTCAGACATTGGAATTCTCGCTTCCGATATTTGGGCATTGACTCTCCCCGGGAGTAATCACGCCGAAGCCATGCATGAGACAGGGGTATGCCAATCTTAGCAGTTCTGGACCCTCAGGGGCAACGACGCCACCAAAAATGCTTGTTATTAGCTGTCCCTACAACTTCACGATGCCCATTTCCAGACGGGATGGCTTGAACTCTGACTTGAAATGTCCAATGTCATCAGGTCTAAGCTTCACACCAATGTCTACCCGTCACCACCTTAATATCCATGAACAAATCATTTGACTCTAATGTCACTCTGTGCGATTTCAGCTCATGTGTGGCTTGCCTCCACATCTCCACTAGCTCAAGGCTCATTTGAAGACCGGTCGGCAGTCGGCAACCTCCATGACAACAGAAACATGTCTTTGACGTGGCTTCTATTGGCTGGTTTACTACCCATCCCCGTAGTTTCAGGCTGTGATCGGCAGGGCGCCGTCTTTGCCAAGGGAGAAAAGCAGAAACATTGGACGCCTGGATCAACCCCGAGGTGCATTCTTGGGAGGTGGGAGAGACATGAACGAGAGGTGAAAACATTGCACTTTCGGTATCTTGGTGTGTAAATGTGCAAACGGTTCCTGAATTGCCGCACTTTGAGCCTCCCGTAGGGCTGATTACAACGCTCATCAACACCAGAAGCGGTATAAAGTGTGAGGCTGCATGCAGGACTGTGGCTGCCCCTGAGGCAGACAGCGTAAATGAACCAAACGGCATTCAGCCTTGGGTTGATCCGACTCGGGATAAGCGCTAGCGTCGTGCGGTTCTGTGGAAATTATCGAGAATAGGACCAGGGTGTAGTGTCCCGCTGGGCTGAGGATGGTCTGGGGAAGGGATGCCAGTGTCTTAGCCATGAGATGTACTTAAGACCTGTCTCCTCGCCCTTGATCCAGATTTGTATCCTCGATCATCCTCTCACTCTATCAAACCGTCTTTCGTTCAACTCCTCTTCCATCAAGATGCAGTCCAAGATCGTCCTCGTCTCCCTCCTGGCTTCGGCCGTCTCTGCCCAGGGCAACTTCATGGCTCACCCCCAGATGAAGCGCGACCTCCTCGCCCCTCGTGCCACCGACTCTGTCGCCGGCCTCGACAAGGAGTGCCAGTCTGCCATCATGGAGGTCTACAAGACCCTCCCCACTCCCGCCCCCGAGATCGTCAAGGACCTCACCGAGCACCCCCAGACCGACCCCTGCTCCTTCAGCACTCCCGCCTCTCTGTCCAAGGAGTACGCCAGCTACAGCTCCGAGGTTCTCGGCTGGTACTCCAAGAACGAGGCCGAGATCAAGTCTGCCCTCGAGGAGTGCCCTGCCCTCTCCAAGTACGCCAACGCCGTCCCCATCTGCTCCGATGCCGCCGCCGCTGGTGGTGACAATACCAAGGCCACCGAGGCCACCAAGACTGCTGAGGAGACCGAGGCTGAGACTGCTGCCACCGAGTCTGGTGCTTCCAAGCCCAGCGGCTCTGCCTCTGCCGAGTCTGCCAGCGATGCTGCTGCTACTCCCACCACTTCCTCTCCCGCTCAGGCTACCAACGGTGCTGCCCGCGAGGGTGGTATGATCTACGCTGCCGCCGCTGTTGCCGGTAT